TTCGTGGCCACATAAGGAGCCCCACCGAATGCCCAGATGCCAGCGCTCGCATGCGGCCGCCGCGCCCATTTTGGCACACCCCTCATAGGAAGCTCCACCGAATGCGGTGCACACAACGACAGTACCCACAACTGCATATGGTTGTCGCCCTGGCCAGGCTAATTTAAGACGGATGCGCGCGGCGCTAAGGCGGCAGCCACATTTTGAAAGCCACCTGCCCTCCATCAGTGAATGTCTTGCAGATTTTCAGACGGGTGTGCGCGGCGCTGAGGAGAGAGCCACATTTTGAAAACGGCACGCCCTCAATTCGTGAACCTGTTGCACATCTTCTTTGATCTTCGGGATCACAGGTGGTGAAGAATTCTCAGGCGAAACGCCTGGCCCGCACTTTCGACCGGCCTGGGGGGGCGAAAGGGAGAAGCTATTTACAAGGACAGGGAATGGAAGAGGATGTTAAGGAGGAGCAGGATGTTGATGAGGAGGAAGAGGAGACGGAGTGGAAGAAGGACGATCAGCAGGAGGAGCAGGAGGAGCATGCAGGTGGCAGTAGAAGGAAGATGGCGATGATGCTGATGATGATGATGATGATGGTGATGCTGATGATGATGATGACGATTATGATTGTGCTGATTCTGATTATGATGATGGTGCAGTTGCTGATGTTGACACTGGTGCCAATACTGATGATGATGAAGATGATGACGACGTGGCTGCTGACGATTATTATGCATGATGATGCTGACGATGATGATGCTGCAGACGATCAGGAGTCTGTTCATTGATATGATGATGTTGATGATGCTGATGATGATGATGATGGTAATGGTGATGGCGAGTATGGCGATGATACTAATGATGACGATGATGGTGGTGGTGGCGTTGGTGGTGGCGGTGGTAATGATGATGAAGACATGGTGATGATGCAGAAGGTGATGATGGTGATGGTGATGATGCGTATGATGATTCTGATGATGCTGACGATGATGCTGGTACTGATTATGACACTGATGATGCTGATGCTGATGCTGATGCCGGTAATGATGATGATGAAGATGATGATGATGATGATGCTGATGATGATGATGATGCTGGTAATGATGACGTCGATGGCGATGACGATTACGACGACGATGATGATGCTGCTGCTGATGATGATGATGCGGCTGACGATGATGATGACGATACTGATGATGCTGATGATGGTGAGGATGACGATGATGCTGGTGACGATGCTGATCATGATGAAAATTGTGGTTATGCTGTTGATGCTGATGATGACGATGATGACGATGTTGCTGCTGATGGTGATTATGCATGATGATGCTGCTGATAATGATGATGTTGTAGAAGATGAGGGTTATGATGATTGACATCATGATAATGATGATGCTGATGATGTTGATGATGATGATGATGGTAATGATGATGATGATGATGATGCTGATGATGATGATGATGATGATGATGAATGTGGCGATGATAATAATGATGATGCTGATGATGATGATGGTGGTGGTGGTGGCGGTGGTAATGATGATGAAGACATGGTGATGATGCATAATATGCTGATGCTGATTGTGATGATGCGAATGATGATTCTAATGGTACTGACGATGATGCTGGTACTGATGATGACAATGATGATGCCGATGCTGATGCAGATGCCGATGATGATGATGATGATGATGATGATGCTGATGATGATGATGATGATGATGATGATGATGATGATGATGATGGTGATGCTGGTAATGATTATGTCGATGGCGATGACGATGACGACGATGATGATGATGCTGCTGCTGATGATTATGATGATGCTGCTGACGATGATGACGATGCTGGTGATTCTGATGATGGTGATGATGACGATGATGATAATGATGGTGACGATGCAGATAGTGGTTATGCTGCTGCTGATGATGGAGACGATGGTAAGGATTATGAGGCTGATGATGCTGTTAATACGAATGGTGATGATGCTGATGATGATGGTTATGCTGATACGGCTGATGATGCTGACGATGATGATGATGCTGCTGCTGATGATGGAGACGATGGTGAGGATGATGAGGCGGATGATGTTGCTGTTAATACGAATGGTGATGATGCTGATGATGATGGTTATGCTGATACTGCTGATGATGCTGACGATGATGATGATGCTGCTGCTGCTGATGATGTTGCTGATTATGATGCTGCTGATGATGATCATGCTGATGAGGATCATGATTATGATTACGAGAATGGACCGGGGGATAAAGGTGGACTATTTAGAAATGAGAAGTGATATGCGATACGTGATGGTGAGGCTGCGGAGGGATGAGGGGGGGGGGGAGTGAGGAGGAGGAGGAGGAGGCGAACGATGAGGAGGGTGAGGACGGGGAGGAAGATGAGCAGGACGAGGTGGTCTAGGAGGCGGACACGGAGGACGGGAATGAGGAGGAGGTGGAGGTGGAAGAGGAGAAGGAGGAGGAGGAGGAGGAGTCAGGAAGAGGAG